GGCTAAGTGCCGGTCACAGTCACCAATGACTAGGCATTGACTAAACGAATGAGTGAATGTATGAATGCCCGAAACCACGGGTTTCCTTGTCCCCACCTCAAATGTTCATCCAGTGCCTGAAACGCAGTGCAGCTCTCAGGAAAGTTTGTTCTGAAAGAACAGGAAGTTTTCACTGATGCAGTGAGCAACTCTTCAAAGCAGCAGGCGCCTTCCTCCTGTGCCCCTTTCCCAACAGTGACATGGCATCTGACTCTCTAGGCACCTGTTCAAAGCACACCTGCCCGCCCTGGCCTCTGCCTCACAAGCTTTGCACACGAGACCGACAGCAGGGATCTCACCTCCAGACTCAGGCTGGTTCTACGCGCCGACTCCAGACCTGGAAATCGTTAGCTTTTAATTAAACGCCCCTTTGGCACTCTAGTTCCTGTGTGAAACATCAGTGGCAGAAACGACATTTACTGGCTAAGCGGGTTTATTTAAAGCAAGGAGTCTTGGAGTGCTTTTTGCCCTATTAAGGCCTGGATTCAAGGGGAGCCTTGGAGCAGAAATGAACTCCCTGTTGAAGCTCAGACTCCCCTAGCCAGCCCTGGACTTCAGAAGACAGAGCCAGAGAGCATAACCCTGCACAGTGGCGCTTGCTGAAAGAGAGCACAACATTAAAGGCAGAGAAGGAGAAAGACTCTTTACTCTTTCCCGGAGCACGAGGCTTCTAGCTGCAGGTCAAGTCTAAGGTAAATAGACAGCAGGCTGGAGAGAAGGGGCTGGCTGCGCATTCCTGAGCTCCTCCTGACTCCAGTGCAGACAGGCTTGGTCCTCCGAGCCTTCATCTTCATAAATTCTTTATAGAAAGAGTTTTACAAAACTATTCACCTTTCTGGCTTCTGCTAAAATGACAGCCTGCTCACTCACAGAAAGAGAAAGGAAAAAAAAATATTTTCACATTTGGAAATGGAAGGCCGCTCTCCAGTCTATGCCCTCAACAAATAGAGACCGGGTTTTATGTATCCATGGGACTCAGAGGACCTGGCTTCACGGGACTGATTGCCAGGCCTGGGGTAGCACAATCACCTTACTGGGGCTCAGTTTTCTCATCAGCGAAATGGGGCCAAGGCTTATTCATGGCTTGCACGCATTGATGGAGAGATTCTAAGGATCATTGTAATGGGTATGGGAGTTTGTCAACTAGCATGAAGAGGCATTTATTGTCATAAACGGCCTTATGCTAGACTCTTGAGCATCATGAGAAAGACGTGTCCTGTATCCTCTAAGGAATAGGATACGGACTCAGTGTCCATTGTTCATACAGCAGTGTAGATCCAAGGCCAGGTGTATGGGCCGTCCTCTCTCTCTCTCTTCTATATATGGATATATGATGCATTAAGTTGTTTTGAAATGCTATGCCCTGTCCCCTCTGCCTGAAAGGACTGCCCTTCCCAATTCTCTGCCATCTTTGAGGGCAGCGCTACTCCACAGTGGTCTCCAGTCTCATGCTCCTGTGAAACTGCTACTATTTCGTGAAGAGATCAGTGCAGAAATGGAAAATAAGCATTCAGAAATTTTTATAGCCATTTGACCCTGCCCAGACATCCAAGTATGTATCAGTTGACTCATCTCATTGAGCAGGGTAAAGGCCAACAGGACCTGGTATATAATATGCAAGGCTTGCACAAAATGAGTATGCAGGGCCCCTTATTCAAAAAGAATTAAGAATTCAAGATGGCGACCACAGAGCATGAAACCCAATGTTGGATCCCTCTGAGCATGGGGCTCAGTAGGACTGCATATGTTGCAGGCCCATGAAGCTGGCCCCGGCTATTGAAGTCCCATGCTGGGGCTCATGCAGTGAGTGCCATGTGCCAGTCACGCCCAGCAGGACCATGCAATGTTCTGCTAAGAGCTGGGGGGAAAGCTGGCCCTGTATCCCAGAGGGTTCCAAGAGCACTTCTCAAGGACCCAGCAAAGGCCCCATCTTGCCCACTAAACCTTGACAGCCCAGCCAGGAGGACTTTCTCCAGCACGGTGAAGGTCTTTGCTCTTTCGTAGAACACCTAGCACATTCTTCCTCCCCTGCTTCAATTTTTCACTGACCTACCTCTGGGGCATTCCCCTCCCTCTTCTCTTGGAGCCCCTTCCATGTCAGACTGTCATTTTCAGTTCAGGAGTTTCCCTCCCTTCCCCACGTGGGCCTGAGCCATGCATGGACAAGGAGCTGTGTCTTCATCTTTACAACCACTCCTTTGACACACGTTTGATGGGCACTTCCTATGTGCCCCACACTTTGCCAGGCAAAGACCAACATGGCAGGCTCTGCCCACCAGAAGTTCACGGTCTGGTGGAGGGACAGTGAAAGGATGACGTGCAAGGACAGATGAGGACTGTGGGTGGCTGGGCAAACACAGGAGAGGAAACCAGTTCTGCTGATGTGGCCCAGAGAGTTTCTCCAAGGAAGCCACTTTGTTCAGCAGCCACTCAAGGGCCAGGAAGGGAGGGAGTAGGAAAAACAAGAAGGAAAAAAGGGCCTGTTTAACTAACTAGATTTGACCCGCCATTCCCACCCTGTGTGCTGAAACAGAGCCGACTCAGTGCATGTTTGCAAACCAGCCAACCCTCCTGTATCTCCCCCTTCCCACTTACAGCAGGAGTCCTGTGCAATGTCTCCATTCTCTCTTGAACTCACTTCAGTCAAAGTTTCATCCCCACTGTTTAGCTCAAGCCCTTGCCAAGGTTACCGATGATGCCGGTTGAGAAATCCTGTGACCAGTTCATATCCTCATCTGACGTGATGTGTCTGCAGGATGACCCCATTGACCTCCCCCACCTTCTCATGCCTTCTCTCTGCTGGGTCTTTGCCCCTTCAGCCTCATTTATTGGTCCCTCTATGTCACTCAGATCTCCAGACCTGGGAATGCCCTAGACTTCTGTTTCCAGACACTTCTATTTTCTTTACATTCTCATTTCCACAGGTAATATCATCTAGTCTTGTGTCTTTAAATAGCAGGTCTCAAACTTATATCTCCAGCGCGTACCTCTCCCCTCAACTCTAGACATGTGTATGCAGCTGCCATCTCAACAGCTCCATGCAATGCTCACCAGGAAGCCCAAACTCAACTGTTCACACCTAAACTCCTGATTTGCCTTCTCTGCCCCAAACTGCTCCTCCCCCAGTCTTCCCATCTCAGAAAGTTACAATTCTATCCTTTCCACGGCTGAGCCAGAAGTCTTACAGGAATTCATGTTTCCTCTTCTCTCTGTCAGGAAATCCTATTAGCTGTGCTTCCAAAATCATCTGAACTGTGACAACTTCTCACCACGTCCATGGCTTGCACCAGGTCCAGGTCTGGGGCATCCCCATCTCTCGCCCTTTAGTATCGTCACAGACCAACTGGTCACCTGCTTAGCCACTGTCCCTCTACAGCTGCATTGTCCAATATGGTAGCCACTAGGTACACATAGTTATATGAAATTTAACTTAATTTAAATTAAATTGAATTAAACATTTAGTTTCTCATTTGCCCCAGCTGCATTTCAAGTGCTCGGTACCACCTAGTGAGCAAGGCAGGGCAGGTAGCAACTGTATTGAACAGCACATATATACAGCATGCCCATTATTCCAGAAAGTTCTATTGCTCTAGAGTTGACTTTCATCAGAGCAGCCAGAGTGAGGTGGTTATAACATAGTCATATCATGTTAGTCCTCTGCTCAAACCTGACCAGTGGTATTCCATCTTACTTGGAGTAAAATACAAAGTTCATTGAGTGGCAAGCAACTGTGTTAACTTCCATTCTTGCCCCCATTTATCAATCCAACCTCTTCTCCTCTCCCAGTGTCACTCTCTGCTGGCTTAGTCAGCCGCATCACACTGACCTCCCTACTCTTACTTAAACATGCTCGCATGCAGGGCCTTTGCACCTGCTATTGATCCTGCCTGGAATACTCTTTCCCTAGAAGTTCACACGGCTCATCCCTCACTCCTTCCAGGTCTCTGACCCAACGTCATCTTAGCCGTGAAGCTTCCGCCTCCTGACGTTTTCTCCAGAGCATTTGTCACCACTGGGCATCACACGTATCCACTTGTTTATCGTTTATTGTGTACAACAGACTATAAGCCCCATGCAAGCAAATATTTTTGCTTAACTGATATATCTCCAGAGCTCAGGAGAATGTATAGCACATAGTAGGTGCTCAAAAAGCGTTTGCTGAATTAATTAAAAAAATAAAGGAAGAAAGTCAGATAGGTGAGAAAATACATTTCAATAATCCACAAAATTAGGATATGTAAATGCTTACTGTATACCCAATGCTAAAAAATATTCATCCTTCACTCTGATATTTCTTTATCACATGGATCTTTGGATTAAGCCTATATCTTAACGTTGGGAAATACGAACTGCAACTCTAATTTTCTGACTCCAAACCTCAGTTTTAGTGTAAAAGGTATTAATTTGTCACAGCAGCATAGTAAAACAGTGAGTTTATCAAACTCTCCCTCAAACTCATATTTCCGCAGGAACAATTACACACAGTCTCAGTGGGAAGCAGGCTTTGAGCAGGCAGCCACCCTGCCCCAGGGGAGCTCACTGTGTTAAGGATGCATAAGGTCACTCCACGCCCCGGAACATGTAATGGCTCAAACATGAGGGAAGTGTAATTCTCCCTCACGGAAAGTCCAAAGCAGATATTCCCACTGGCAAGCAGCTCTACTTCAGTGGATGAGTCAGGCTTTTGACTCCTGTGTCATGACTTATCGTCTTGAAAACACGGTGTCTTGGATCTCCATGCGCACCTGCCTTAAGCCAGAAGAAAGGAAAGAGCATGGAAAATGGTGCACGGGAGGTTTTCCTGGGCCAGGTCTGGAAGAGGCGCCCATCACTTCTGCTTGCATCCTATGAGCTAGAACTCAGTCATGGCTACACATATGTGCAACCGAGTCTAGGAATGTAGTCTGGCTGCATGCACAAGAAGAGGAGGAAACGATGAACAGCTATCCGCTCTTTTACAGGGAGATTGTGCTGAATATCCAATGAATGTGCCAACGGAGTTTGCAGTGGGAAGGAGGGGGAGCGATGTTTTCCAGATGATGGAATTTGAGAAGGCTACAAGGAAAAGGTGAATTCTGAGACCTTCTAAGATAAGTCAAATTGCAACGTACAGAGGTAAGCAGGCAGATATACAGGCATGGGAAAAGTCTTTCCTATTGAAAAAGGCCAAAACAAAGAGAAAGATATTCAGATGGGATGATGGGTTGGGGCGAGATTCTGGAATACTTGATATGCTGTGCTTGTCTTGTCTTCTCTGAACACTTCCAGGTCTGAGATGTACTCACTGAAGCCTACGGAGACATGCACTGTGCGTGGAGCCCTGTTCAAGGTTGACAGAAGAGAAAACAAGCAGAGAGCACACAGGTGACTTACCCAAGGACACACGCATCAGGGTCACAGGTGAGTCAAGACCTAAGCTTTCGACCACTAAATCCAGAGATATCTACCAATCCTCCTGTTCTTAAAGTGCTGAGAGTCACTGGGAGCCTTACTTTCAGTATCGTTAAGGATTTTAAGGCTCTGAAGTTTATTGCATTTCCATTTGTCCCATTCAGATAATAAAGCATGCAAAGTAAAACCAAATTAACATTTGAAGCATGGTTACATTATTAAAATATTTTGACTGCCCTTCAGCTGTTCTCTTTAGCTTCTGATCTTATCTCACAGGCATTTTAATTGCAGTGGGCACAAATTTAAAGTAACAGTACCTGCCCTGATGTGTAGACCAGTGCAACAACGACTATGCTGCATCCTGGACTTCTGAGGATATGCAGAAGTTCTCACTCAAGCTTTCCTAGGTTCCTGGGCCGAGAAAGCCTCTGCTCAGGCATGGCGTGGGCAGGCTGGGAATAGCACCAAGAGAGGAAAGACTAGTTTTCAAAGCTTATTGTTATGGTAATGATCATGGCTGCTGATCCACTCCCAATGTGCTTGCATATCTAACATCTAGTCTCCTCTTTAAAACAGCCCAGACCCCAGGAAAAGGCCTACCACATAGTAGGAGCAAGGGCTACAATGGGTATTTGCAATGTAATAGATGAATGACTCTGTGGAAATAAATACAATATGCTTTATAACCCACGTTGTAGACACGTGGAAACTGCATCTCAGTAGTTCAATTACTCACTGAAGGTCACATCCGGCAGACCTGGCAAGAGAACCAGGTCTCCGAATGTGGGCCCAATGCTCTTTCCTTCTTATCAATGCTTCTCCAAGTGTACAGCCCTACACAGCTGGGATCCAAGATGATTTTAGGCAGTGCATGGCAATGGCTTCAGATGGCACTGAATCCCATCATGAAAAATATCCATTGTTTTCAACTGCATTTCAATTGCTTCAAGGAGAAAGCTTCAGATTGGAGCCCACACACATGTATATTTTTAACATGTTTCTACACGGACATCTAATCTCCCTTCCTAACAGAAAGATGACAAGCCATAAACTCAAGCCTTTGCAGGCAACAGCATCTAGCTACAATTTCATAGCAATGTTTTATTCTCATTGTCTTTGCTTTACCTCCCTCTCGAATTGACGACATGGACATTGCTGTCCCTTTAAAATGTAATATAGAATGTGTGAAAAAATTCATCGAAGTAAAAAAAATGATTTCATTAACGAGAACAATGAGACAATAGTATAAATGATAGATTAGATATCGCAAAACTCATCAAAGTCGTCTAGCTCAGTGATTGGAGTTTGGAAATCACTGCTTTATATTGAAAGATGCCCTCGAAGAAACCAAAAAGATCCCAAAACCTTCAATATGAGTAACAGGGAGGGAGTCCACGGACAGAGGATGAGTCCTACTTGATGCGCGATTACCCTGTCATATTTATAGGTCCTGACTATTCTAACTGGTCTCCACATCCTTAACATAAGTGCCACCTCCTCCATGAAGGCTTTGGAGATTTCCCCAGTCAGGTTGGTCATTCTCTATTTTAAGTCTCTAAAACCATTATTTCACCATTCTTAGGGAAACCAGACTGCCTTGCCTTTTCTCAAGGCCTTATCTGTGAATGTTCTTGGTTTCCTTTGACTGTCTTCCTGAGCAAAGCTCTGAACCCAACATCCTTATTTTCTTCTCATGCACGTTGAATTGAATCCATGCCTTTCCTTCATGTGTAGAGAGATTGTCCTCTCTAGGCCTTTAGATGGGGGACAATGATACCCCAGCTGTTTATCACGGGGCTTGCTCTGGATTGAAGTCTTTCTCTGTGGGGAAGTAAATAGAAGTCACAGAGCCAATGACCTTGGGGAAGGGAGTGGGTTTCTGCAATTTGTAAGTGGTGTAAATAACTGGCTTAGCTTGGGTTCTTGAGTCCTTTTCTGAGATGGCCCCAGAAGTCCTAATGACTTCCTATTCTCTAAGTGTCATTCAACACTGCGACTCAGGCTTGCCTCCAGGAAACATTGTCTCTCCAGCACTATCCAGCCAAAATGAGCTGTGTTGGACAAACAGGAATTCACCACAGAGGGAATGGCGTTCCAGGAAAAAGAAATTGCACGTGTAATTCTTTGGGCTTGGAGGCATGGCACAGTCTTTATCATTGAAGGAGTGTGGAAGACTTCAATGTGATGGAGCAAAAGGTGAGTGTGGGACAAGAGGCTTAGGAGCTAGACATGGGATGTGGAGTGCATCCTTGCAGAGATAAGTAAATGAAGCTATGGGAGTTTAAACTTCATTCTGAAACTTACAGAAATCCTTGGCGGTGTTTAGGTGATGGAAGGGCACGTTCCAATCAGCTTTAGCGTGGAGCTTACTCCAGCACCCAGGCATTGAGAGGGTGGTGGATTGGATGGGGTGAAGCAGGAGGCCAGGGCAACCCATTTGGATTTTCAGTTTGGAGCAGAAGCAGAGAGGGCGAGGAGGATGGGAGACACAGAGATGTGCAAGGAGGCCTATTCCTTGAAACCTGCACGTTTGTATTGAACCCACTAGAATATTCAGGAAGCATTTCTCCAGAATAGAGCATCAATTGGACAATTTGCTCTGAACAATTAAATGTGCAGTTTTAAGCCCATAGCAGTAGAGTTTATTTATAATTGGAGCCACAGTTTGCACGCACTTTAAATGCAAAGAGGGGCTTTAACCGTCAAGTTATTACATTACTCAAGAGTTTAATTAATAACACACTAATTGTAGAAGCCAACATCAAGAGTCACACCATATTGTTCCTATTACGTTTGGAAACTGTTTGAAGTGATTTGATAATTAAAAAAATGACTTCGAAATACTGCCTTATCTTCTTATAGATATGGAGAGGCTTTTGTTTATGTATTATAGTACTTTTAAGATAGAGGGGTCTCCCTTGGATTTTATGAGGAAGAGCGTCTGAATAAAGCCTTGAGAATAGATATCTAACGCATAGATATTAAAACAAGGCAAATGCTTGGACGCAATTGGTTAGAAAGACACCTATCGAAAAGTTAAATGAAATAGTAAAATTAAAAAAAATTAATTCCATAGTATTAGAGCTGAAAGGGACTTCAGACTTGATCTGTCTTATCCTCAAGCCCATTTTCCAAATGTGAAAATCGAAATTAATGAAGTCAAACTATTTGCTTGAATGGTCAAAGAAGACAAATGCCTCTCTGCATCTCTCAATTTCCTTCCACTTCTTGAAGAATGCCCACTCTATCGGGCTCTCCCAAAAAACACAGACCTGACTAAGAGTGTTGAAACAATCCATCAGCATCTATCTTTGCCCCACTAAAGGGTAAACTTCTTGAGGGGCTAGCTCATGTCTTTCTAGTCTTTTATGTTCCTAAACTTGACATTCCTAACACATTGCCTGTTACTCAATAGCCCATTGCAAATACCTGCCCACCTGAATCGGATTTACCCCTTCCGTTAGTAGCATAAGTTCTGCATCCGTAAACCTAAATCTACATACAACCTCTGGGCAGACGCACTAATCACCGTGTAGTTAAACCTAAAAGCCACTGACTTAAAATGCGGACCAAACCAGTCAAGGCTATTTAATAAACACTTGTTTACATACTGCTGTCTGTCAAGATTTGAATTAGAGGACAGGAAACAAAGTTGAATAGAGCATACTACCCAGGTAAAAATAGATCCATTAAATACATATATAGATTTATAAATATATATAAACATATGCACTTATATATTAACTTGGAAAGTAGATTTTTGCACAAAGTGTACTATGTATATAGATCAGATGTCAGTAGCCTTTCTGTAAATAGCCAACTAATAGGTGTTTTCTGCCTTACTAGCCACACAGTCTCTGTCATGACGAGGCAACTCTGCTCTTGTATCATGAAAGCAGCTGCCGACAATATGTAAATGAATGGGCATGGCTGTGTTCCAGTAAAACTTTATCTACAGATGCTAAAATTTGAATTTTATATAATTTTCATGTGTCATAAAATATTATTTTTTTCAGTTATTTCAACCATAAACCATTCTTAGCTCATGGACTGTAGCCCTAGACAGGGGACTGGGATTTGGCCCTGGGGCCTGGGGGGCGTGCTTTGTGGCCCGCGCAGTAGCTGAGATGGAGGCCCCCACTAAGCTGTCAGGGGAGGACCCCTCACGCAGAGAGAAAAGCGGCTGCTAGGTCAGAGGCAGAGTCTGTGATTGGGCTCCAGACTGGAGGGTTTGTTTGGGGAATGGCCGGCTATGAGGCCCTAAAGGCAGATGGAGCCAGATCTTAAAGGATTTTGAATGCCTTGGGAAATAACTGGGAGTCTATCCAGTAAAAAGCTGGGAGCTGATGGAGACCATTCTGCAGGGGAATGTCGTGGTTTGGTTTAGGTTTGGGAAGATCACGCTGGCCATCACTGGCCCAGCCTGTGGAGAAGAGCCTGGGAGGAGAGGTGCCAGCAGCAGAGTAACCAGCAGGGGTGCTGTCAGGCTGGTCTAGGGAAGTGACTCGCTAGAATGAGCTCTCAATTTGACAGGAGCGTGTTGAACACGCAACTTTAGCAAGTTACTGAACAGGTTTGAGTAACCTCTCAAGTCTAAAGAGATAATTGGACAAAATAAACATGTATGGCTCTGGGGGAATGTCCTGATTCCTTCTTATAGGACACCAAATCCAGAAATACCATGTCAAATGGATAATGGAGAGAAAGTTTGCCAAGTCATCAGAGAGTCCAGGCACAGAGAAGTTAAGGAATTTCTCTAAAGCCACACAGCTAGTTATTATCTGCCATGGCTACACACTCTGGCCTTCCGTTAACTCATATCCCTGCTGCTTCTAATATTTACACGCAGTGGTAGTGTCATGAAATATCAGGGCATGAATACAAATCAAGAAGTCAAGGACACTGGTCTTTCTTAAGACAAAAGCTCACTTCTGGGTTAGCTCAATTGAGTCCTCCAAGAAAAATGCATAATGAGGTTGAATCGCATAAACAAAATATTGAGTGAAAGAGGCCAAACACAGTGGAGCATGTGCTGCCCGATTTCATCTATATGAAGGACGAGAACAGGCACAGCTAGTCCAGGCTGTGAGGAGTCGGATGGTAGTTAGCCCTGGAGTGGGTAGGCATTGAGGGGAGCCTGAGGAGGGTTCCTGGGGGATTGCTGATGCCAGGATTCCTGAGCTGGGCGAGGGTTACATGGGTGCATTTGGTTTGTGAAATGCACGAAACTGTACCCTTATGTCTGCACTTCTCGGTATAGGCAATATACGCCTCAGTGAAAAGAAAAACATAGCTGTCTCTATCCTATCTCTATCTCTATCCCTATATTTACAGACATCCGTATAGACGTATAAAAAACGAGCTACATTTACATATATAAATATATAATTTGTATCTATATATCTAAGTCTATCTATAGAGGGAACAATCCATTGCCAAACTTTTTAACGTTTTTATTACAATAAAATTCATCGATCCTATACTTCAAAAGTTACTTATTCTCTCTGAAACTCAGAATACTAATCTGTTAAATGAAGATAATTAAATATAGTTTCCTTAAGAATCAAAAGAGTATGTGAGGGTGTGTATTTTTTTGTTTACATGCCCAGCCCATAGGGGAGCTCCATGAAGGTCTTGGTCAGCCCCCTTTCTCCTGGATGTTCTTTACCCATGTGGCTGGCAGGATGGGGTGCCCAAGATTTAGATGTCCTGGACAATCGGATGCTCTGCCCAGTCTGGAATCTTGGCCACCAGCTTTGCCTGGCCACATCCATCCATTGCCATCCACCTACCAGGGAACCCCGCTAGCCTCTCATTCTTCTTCCACATCTGCCAGAGGGAGGTGTAACCCTCTGGAGAGGTCCCTAGTCCGAACATCATCAAATACCACAAAATGCCACCTTGATTCCTAACAGCCTCCTTGTCTGGCAAATGGGGTTTATAATAAGTGTCTTTCTTATCTCTCAGAGCTACAGTAAAGATCAAATGAGATAATAAATGTGAAAGCCTTTTGTCATCTCCAAAGTCTTACACAATTATAAGGATTAGCCTTAATCACTCAATATCGTGCTTGTCTGTTCATACGTCTGTCACCCCCACAAGATCTGGAGTTCTGCAGGGTGAAAGTTGAGTGCCCTTCATTGCTGCAACCCTGGATCCTAAGACACACAGCCTGGCAAAGAGCTGCCGAATGAGAAAAATCTACACAAACAAGCAGTCATTGCATTATCATGTGCTATAGATGCTTTATGAAGAAATGACGCGTGATAACAACTCCACCATCCTCCAGCCCTTATAAATTTTCAACATATTTTCACTGAGTTTTACAATATATGCCCTGGACGTCAAGATGTGTATTAAGGACCAGAAACAGTAATAAATGACGACATCACCATAACCACGGAAAATCGATGATAAAACAGGAAAACAATAGCTTATAACTGGCTTGAATGAAATAGAAATCAGGGGCACATTTTCAAGATTAGGAATTAGATTAGAAAATTGACAACATGATAACTTTTAACACAAATGAGATTCAGCAATATTTCAGAATGTAAAAGCCAGGACAGTAACTCAACGTACCACAGTACGATACTTTGTGATGTTTCCAGTGTCATATGAACCATTTCAACTGTGAGGAGATTACCTGTAGGTTTGAATCAGAAAGCATGTTTTATTACCGCTTCTAAACCTAACCTGATGGTGTCCATTTCCAAATCTGTAAATATAAAATCATGCCTTTTTCTCTAATTTACCAATTTCTAAGTCACACATGTACAGTTTGTAAGCTCCTAACGATTTACAAATTCCTGTAATTTTATTTTGTAGGTTATAGTGTAAGAAAGCCGTGCAGAGAAGATAGAGGAGGAAATAGCAGGAAGGAGTCCAATCTCTTCTCTCTGTTGTAATTTATGAGAATATGGGAAGTGATCTGTTTGATAAGCAATTCTGCCCACTCTGGGTGAAAACAGACTTGATATCATCCATTGATATGGGTCAGTACAGTTTATTCGCCCTATGCCAATTTTTGGTTATGCATTCAGGTGTTAAGATATTCAGCCTCAAAATGCAGTGCACACAATTTTGAAATCCATTTTCCGCTGTGGGTCTCTGAATGGGATGCAAACCCCATAAAGGTCTCATGGGTAAAATTTGAAATTTGTCCCATTTGATGCGAATCCGATAGGATTTAGAGT